TTAATGGGACTTGACGGTTGTCGGCTTAAATCCCCACCCATTTTTTTTCCATCTGGATAAGCATCGTACCGGCGTAGGGTCGTGTATCACTACTGCCTGTTTGACGTTAAAGACCTTAGCTCAGCGGTTGTACTGCACTGGCTAAACTTCTCATCTAGAGCTGGGAGACTCGTCGCCCGTTGAGGCAGACTAAGTTCAAGGCTGTACAAACATACACTCAACCCAATTTTTTTGGTCGTTCTGTTTGAGTCTCGCGATGTGTATGTTATCGGTAAATTTAGAGCGGCGGTGGTGCAGCGGATGTACAGGTGTGACTTCGTAGTTTGTAGAGGACGGCTTACGAGAGTTTCAAAATGAGCCTTTGAAGCGTTTCTCAAATTTTCCGCACCTTCCAATCTGGCGAGTTGTCTAGACAAGAATGACGTCGCCAACATTGTAAGGGACGGAAGGGTAGTACTCGCCATGACCAATTATCTGTTGTTGTTGGGATTACAGAATCCGAATACGTGAGAGCTGTCGAACTCCTTCAGCATGGAAAAGGACGTTGTGTAGGTGTGTGTTGAAATACTTGTCATCAATGTACGGTAACAGCACGTCAATGGTTTTTATGTCTATAAAAATTATTTTGCGAAAATCATGTAGTAGTCTGCCGGCAGCTACTATTCGCATTTATATATATCTCAAACGATAGTATCAATTATCTTGATTATCTGTAAAAAACATGAATATCATACCGACTAGGGTGTGATTGAACCGTTCTGACGAAAAAAAAATTGTGGTATGGATACGTTAATACAACCTGAAATTAGTATATTTTAAGGGGCGACTTGTCTCTTAGGTGTAGATGAGCAATTTAGCCAGTGCGGTACATCTGCTAGCCTGGGGTCTATAACGTGCACGACGCAGCCCAGTCAAACACCGACATCCATTAGATATACCAGCTTGACCCAAGCGTCTATATCCAGATGAGGTGTAAAGAGGACGTCATATGGATTATACATATTCGACATTGAGCATAACGAACGTCCAAAAGACGTCATTTAGACGTACTGAAAGGACTTTCAAAGATAATACATAGGTACATTTATGGATGTAGTGTAGACGTGTGGCGAAATGCTGTAGTCTGTGCTCTTCTTTCAAGGCCTGATATGTGATATATCACCCGTAAGAAAGAGGCTTAAATGGGTTCAAAATGTTTCTTTTTCTCTAAAGGTGTGTAAATAGTGACCTTATCCGAGTAAAACCCTTGTCGCGAAGTGTGGGCATCATGCAGCGGACGACACAAAAAATATTTTGGTTGGTTTACATATACGTTGTTATGATTTATTGTCGGGGCGTCCTGCAGCGGACGTTGTCGGACAGCATAGGTGCTGCAAAATATATTTTCAATTCACCGTGTTACACACCGCGCGCCAGCGCCGCGACGACAAAAACTACATACAACCCATAGTTATTTTTATGACAATGAGCAGCTATGTTATATACCCTCCTTCGCTGCTTTTGTCAGTGTTTGCTTTTACTATTTATTGCTGCCAATCGAAATGGTAATTTAAAAACGACATTAAAATGAGAAAAAATAATGTTACAGGCCAGTCATAAAAAAAAATATTTGGGAAAAAATCTAGAGCAATATTTGCAGCGCCAGACTCGTTTTAGCGGCAATTTCGTCTGCTTGTGTTACTGGGGTTACGTCACCACCATAGCACAAGTTGCTGCTGTGTAACTGCGCGGGGGTAAGAGAGGCCTACAGGCCTCTCTCTCGCCTTTTTTTTTTTTCCGGGCCTGAACAGTAGCGAGTGCGACAGCTCAGTTTAAATATGGGCTTAGCGCTAAAATTATAGACCCACATTGTTTCTTTATTTTTGCGCTAAAAAGTTATTTTACGACACGCCTGTAATTAACTGCAATGCGTACTTCTGTGTGACCAAGAAAACGCGGGAACTGGATTATTTGAAACCGAATCCAGACATATTAAAGCTCCGAACACGTCAGGCAACTACAGCGCAGTTACCACGTGACGCGAACGGCAGATTCCCGCGCGGCTTGACCGGGCCCCCCACGAATGCTACTTCGCACTTCGCTTGCTTTGCTTTTGTTTGTTTGCGTTTGCTGTGTGTAGTTTCGGAAATTTCTCTGTTTGTGGCATTGGGCGCCAAGACGCTGTTTTGTATCCGATACTCGGCCCCGTCTGCAAAAGGTCAGAAGTGAGTGCAGCTCACGGTGCGCATGCGACTTTATCCCTCACATTTCGAGTTTGTGAATTCTGACGTATAGAAAGCTCAATCGACGGAGCTCTTACCGCTGTTGTAGCCGTGCGCACAGAATGTTCCACTGCTTTGCCCTATGTGTGGCATTGAACGGTGCCCCGTGCTTCGCATAAACGAGTCTTAAGTAGTATTTCAGTTGACTAGTCATGCCTAAAGCCATCTCAAAAAGACACATAAGAAAAGGAGCTAACCAGAAGGTCAACGCTCTGTTTGAACACTTTGCTCTGCCGGGAACGTCAAGTAACATTTTATCCCTTACAACTTCGGACTCTGGACACTTATCGTGTGAAAGTGGAGCTGGGAATTCCTCCCGTTGGCGCGTTCCGAATACAGCGAGTTCGGAAAGTGTAGATGAAACCGCAGAGAGCATTTGCCACTCTCGCTACGACCACGAGGAGTTTGCCGAGCTGCCTCCAGGTGCCGACTCGGAGGCGAGTATTTCATCTTCCGAAATTTTCATTGAGACTGCTGTCGGCAGGGAAGAAGGAACAAGTGGAGAGGAAGTTTCAGACACGCCTGAGTGGTTTGCCTCTCTCCCAGCTAAATGGGCTGTTGAACAGGGAGTTACATACATGTCACTGACATCACTTCTGGGCCTTTTAAAATAGCACCATTGTTTTTCAGATCTGCGCTCAAACGCTTGAACCTTGCTCCACACCCCTTGTAATACAGCAAAATTAGCAGGGATAGCTTCACTACCCCCGGCCAGTATTGCCACTTTGACATTGTTTCTGGCTTGAAGCGTATTCTTCTCTGGAGACTTCCCTCACCTCAGTCTGTGGACATTTCGCTGAACGTAGATGGGCTGCCGCTATCGAAAAGCTCGAGGGAACAATTGTGGCCGATTCAGTGTTTGGTTCAGGACACTGGATCCACCAAACAAGCTGCATCTTTCCTTGTTGGAGCATTTGTTGGGCACTCCAAGCCTGGCTGTGCTAATAGATTCTTAGAGCCACTAGTTGCTGAGCTGAAAGAGGTCCTAGACAAAGGTATTTCTGTGTCGAACAAAACTATCAGTGTAACAGTCAAAGCCATTAGATGTGATGCCCCCGCTTGAGCATTTATCATTAAAAGAAAGGGGCATACCGGCTACTCTGGGTGTCCGAAATGTACTGTCGAGGGCAGTTTCGGTGCTAAAATGCGCTTTCCTACCACAGTGGCAACACCTAGGACAGACCATTCATTTAGAAGTCAAGTGGACAGTGACCACCACCTCGGGACATCAGTGTTAACAAACCTCCCTACTGACTGCATAAATGTGTGCCTCTTGACCCCATGCACCTGGTGTATCTGGGAGTGACGAGGAAGCTTGTCAACTCGTGGCTCTCTGGACCACTAGCGGTTCGACTTGGTCCCCACAGCGACAAGAAGTGTCCGAAAAAAGCCTTTCATTTGCGACTCATGTGCCTGCGGAGGTTGTACACAAGCGTAGAAGACTTGACAACAAGGACCACTGGAAGGCCACAGAGTTCCGGTTGTTTGTTTATTACACTGGTCCAGTGATCCTCAAAGAAGCACTGGCAAGGAGAGTTTACGAGAACTTTCTAACTTTGCATGTTGCAGTCACCATCTTGAGCACACCTTCACTGTGTCAGCTACAGGCTGGGCATGCCGAGACACTTTTACAGCATTTTGTGAAAGGTTTTGCAGCGCTGTATGGAGAAGATGACGTCTCCTACAATGTTCATGCCCTTTTGCATCTGCCGTCAGATACTCGCTTGCACGGCGCATTGGACTCGTTCTCAGCATTCGCATTTGAAAACAACATGCAGGCAATCAAGAGAATGCTGCGTAGGCCTGGCTGCTCACTAAATCAGCTGTACAGCAGGCTAGAGGAAAATCAACAGCACACACAGAACCCCCCAAAAGACACATCCCACATCCTTTAAGCTGCTTCATGCTCACGAAGGTGGAAGCTTGCCCCCTGGTTCCAGGCCACCAGAATACACCATGGCTAAGTTCGCAGATTTCACGCTGAGTTTGAAAAGTCCGACTGCTGTTGCCGAATTGACGAAGACATTGTGCTCATCGAAAACTTTGCTTTCAAGGTGTCTGATAGTCTACCTTGTATTATTGGAAAAAAATTCTGTGAGAAGAAGGCCCTATACACCTATCCGTTAGATTCTACAAAACTTGGCATCTGTGTTGCTTTAAGGCCGTCCACTTTACAGCTCTGGCGTCTCGACAATGTAAAGAAGCTCATCAAGCTTCCTTATCACAACAAGGATGTTGTGATGGCTCTTTTATAAACTGCATGAACATTAAGAGGCTCAACAAGCTGTTTGCACATGTTTGTGCTGCAGGGCCATTCATTTCTTTTTTTTATTACATATAATGGTCACATCTTGTCATACTTTTTGCAATCTATTCCTTGGCACGCTGATCATAATATTTCCCCCTGTAGTAAATTAGAAACGCCGAAATTACATTTGTCATTTACTTCCAGCAAATTGCCGTATCTATTGCCCTGCAGTCGAAGTGAAAGTGAGTCCTGCCATGTGGCGCAGCCTTTTTTTAACATGCTTTTACTGTTCATTGAGTTGGGAAACTTTTATTCAGCCTCGCCCCCTTCTTTGAATGCAAGGGTTTCCTTTGTGTCATATTTCATTCAGAGCCTAGCATAGTTCCAACTTCAAAGTAGCGGTTCTTTAAAGCTCCTTTGCTTGCATGGTTCATTTGGTGCATTTCACTATATACTATGGACTATTTAACCTCATTATGCTTCTGTTTCAGATGCGGTATTGCATAGTGTACTTCACTGAAGAAAAATCAGTAGAGCTTGCGCCATAATGCTAGATTAATGGTGATAAGTGCTTCTGGCCTTTTGGTCCTGGAAACAAAACCTGACTAATCAAAAATGAACCAGAACCTGGCAAGGGCTGGATATCATTCAATGTTCAAGTAAAAGGAACATTTAGTAAGTACAAGTAATTGTTACATAAAAATATTAAATTGTATGTCACACACTATTGAGAAAATTTTAAATGTTTTAAACTCTATCACGAGAATACCAGTTCTCGTGTACTTGCCTCATCACTTGCAAGGAACCTTGCATCCAAACAGAATGACACTTCACTGGTTTTCTGATCTTTTTAGAGAGATATGAGGATGGTCGGCGGAAGCTGGAACTATCTCAGTACACATCGGACCTGGAGTCTTCAGAAGATGGGAAAAAGAGAAATATCCAAAAACCGACTCGCTACGTCAGCGACATGGAAGACTCAACAGGACCGCCAATTGTGCCGTGTAGTTTTCAAGGATCGCAAGCAAACGACTGCGGCGGTAAATGCAATGAAGTTGATACAATCAGAAGGTGCGCACACTAAACTCCACGTTTTCAGTGGTTACGGAAGGCAGCTTATTAACAATAAATATAGATTGGTCATAGGTACATATTTAAATATATATTTCTATAACAATTATAATAACCTTTGCAATTGTTCTGCCAATTTTTGCTAGATTTGGAAGTCTGGTCGGAATCCTCGTTTGGTAAGCATTACTTCCCATAGTACATTCAGAAAATTGAAAGATAATCCTAAACTCCTTTTTCCTAGGCTCTTAATTTTTGTAGAAAGTGCCATGCTAAACGTGGACCATTTAGCAATCCTGAAGAGTACTATGTGTGTTTTAAAAGCTATGTGGGCAATCAGCAAGCTTCGTAGAAACTGCCGCTGTGAAGAAACTGGATGTCGGACTTTTTTTTAATTCAGCTCACCTTTTTCTCGCGTTGTCCTGTACTACAATATTTATGTAATTGTGCTAATGAGCAGACAGAGAGAACAAAGTTGCTCGTGTATTTTGTTCGCCAGAGGAGGACTGCAGCGCTGAAATGACTGAGGACTGCAATGTCGAAAGGGGGGCAAGGCCACACGCATAAGAGCATCAGCAAGGTAATGACGAAATAATAAATTGTAGCTTGTTGGCACTGGGAGTGCCAACAAGCAAGCACCCGGACCTCAGCGAGCCCAGGAAAGACCCGGACAACAACGAGTACCATGAGTATCAATTAAACCTTGCTTAATGATAGCGCTCCCTCGTGTGACTTCCTTGGGGCGAATGGAACTCGGCCTGATCGGGCGATATCGATAGGCGACCCACAAGTTTGACCAAAGTCGCGCAATATTGAGCCCGCGAAAAGTAGGTCGTTTACAGTATATATATACAGGCCATGCATACAAGAAAATTTTCCAGGGAGTCTGATTTATGCAGCACTGAACGCAACCCGTTTTTTTTTTTATTGTATGGAAATGCTCAAACAGCACATTTGCATAAATTGGGGTGACTGACCAGACAGGGTGGAAAAGGGGGGAATGTAATGCTGTGGTAGGTTTTAGAACATAATTATTTTGATGGATGTCTCCTTATTCCAAGGACCAGAGATTTCAAAACCGATTCGGGTTTTCTTAAGGCCAAGTTGCACTGAAGAAAATCTTAATCGATTTTGAAACATTGGTTCCTTGGAATAAGGAATTGGTTGCTGTTTTCTTTCATTTTATGTCCGAAGTACGTACATGGTACGTCCACGGGATCAAGCTGAATATCTATCAAACGTCGCGAATGTCCAGGAGAAGCATCCATGTTACGTTAGTGGTACGTTTTCTGTGGGATCATTTTGCACTGCCCGGTACATACATTGAATATAAGATGGATCATTATGGATATCCACTGGACATGTTGAACATCCGAAAAATACATCTTTTGGACATTCATTAGAAGGTGGTGGTTGACTGGGAGTAGTGGTGCACGACCAGACACCGGTACAATAGTTATCTAGATCAAAACGGGCAGGTGTGGGGATTGAACCCAGCGGCTCTGAGTTCTGCCGCCCAAAGCCGTTCTGCCGATTCATTTGTCTCTGTATGGTAGGCAGTATATATGCGATCCTGCTCGCGCACTGCCGTCCAAGCTCACTCCTTTCTTCCTAACACTATTAACAATTTAATCGAGCGTTCCTAAGAAAACCTTTGCAACCAGTTCCCGGAAAACGCGATTATGGAAGGTTATGGTTGGTTTAGGCGGACAACCATTTTTTTCGTTATAACTGGTAAATCGAACTAGGACTACTATCATCCCCGGAATTCTGCTGCACCGCTGCCGCAAAAATGTACAAATTGGAGTCGGGACTGCTTTCGTTTCCTCCGCCGGTGATACTCCCATGCAGGCCACGCATATCTCAGCCGCAAGTCTTAAGCTGCCATCGGTTTAGAACGGCGGCTTGTAAGTCTGATTGACGCACGTCGAGGCTCTGCTCAGTGAAAACCGACTCTCCTCACTGTGGTCCCACTTCGACTTTGCGGTCAACCCACTACCAGAAGCGAACGCCGCGGTTGTCCAGGACATTCTTCGTGCCACTCTCTACCACCCATACGATCACCTGAAAGACCAACTTGTTAATCGCACCACAGCGTACGAAAAAAATACCGCCTTGAAGACCTTTTGGCGGCCAAGGAGTTGAGAGATAAGAAGCCAGTAGAACTACTACCAAGAACGCAGGCTTTAAAATTTCGTTAACACACTAAGCAGACGCGACACTTCAATTTTCTGGAAAATATTTAATCGGTGTCCCCCGTACAATATGTGCACTAATTTGTCTGCCTTAGTAACAACACCCACGGAAGCCTTGACTGGCATAGCAGATAAACTCATAAAGAAAGACGCGCCTTGTATCTTGGCTATTCATTCAATTAAACCATCGTCGCGCCAGACATTGGACGATCGTTCCATGAAACTCAACGATGTCACTTCAGCTCTCAGAAAAGTTGGAGCAACTCTCCTCACAGGAATTATTCCTCCATCTTACCGAACTGCCTTCATCACGTAGGGTTCGAAGACAACCGAATCCCCCCCCCCCCCCCCCCCCGTACAAATCGATCTCCCTGCGGCGAGACCAGACGAGTATGCGGGTATTACGGAAACTATATTGAACCGGCAAACCGGTGTACTCCTCTCTGCGCTCACCAGGAACATTCCAAAACCCCACCTTAAAGACGGCCAATGCCGCGGTAACCACTGCGAGACATTTTTTTCGTTTTTATCACAGAAAGCACACAAGTGTATTTCCTGGTCGATACAGACGCATATATCAGCGTAATTTCTACAACCCCAGAAGATCGCAGACACCGGTCAGCCGACTCCTCACCTCAAGTGGTAAATGATTCTTCCATTTCATCCTTCGCAGAAAACTCTCTCACGCTCAAAATCAGTCTCTGCCGTGCTTTCTGGTGGGCGATTTTAATCACCAAAGTCACTTGCCCTAATAATGGCGCCGGCTTTTTTCGGTTCTTCAACTTTATTGTTGACGTCCGGCATACGACGATTATTGACGCGGAACCTCGACTCCGCATCCGAAACGTTTATACAGAAAATCTACTACTCAGTCCCGTCGTTTAAATGCCCACTACTCTCTTTCTATGGCACAACATTCTTTCAAACCGTCCTGCCCTTACGCAGACATCTCTAATTGAACTCGCAGTTGAACACACCATCACAGATTGCATCGAGACAACCGGATCTCCACTCTACTTCGGCATGGGCCGTCTGGCTCCGAACCGCTACCATGTGGCCAAAAACCAGTTCCACCGCATGCTTGAACTAGGTCTGCTACGCCCTTCGTCCAGCAACTGGTCCTTTCCACTACAAAAGATTTCAAAGATACAAGTGGCTGAAGACCAGAAGGGTGGTGAGGTGAATTAGTACCGGTTTCAAATGATTAAAATCTGCGAACAAGGCTAAGAAACTGTTATAGAAAACAGAAGACAGAAAAGACGGTGAGACACACAAGTCAATGTATTGACCAAAGAGAAGAAGAAATAAAATGAGAGAATATACAGGTGAACTCCGGAAATCGAGGCGACTGCTTTAGACATTTAACGCTTTAAAAGGGATACTTATTTTTGGTATAATGCCACTGATGGTTGACTCACCCAGCGCTACTCCAAAACCTATATCATGAAGGCTTTATAAATTTTTCTATTAAATGTTTCCTTACACCTACCTATAATACTCGTGTTGGCCAGAGTCGGACTACATGAACAATTTCGACAGTGCATACTCTGTCATTTTCTACCTTCTCTTTGTAAGACACATTGAGTTGTTTCAGTGTCTTTCCTATCATCTGTTTTCTACAACAGTTTTCTAACCTTGTTCGCTGATTTTAATCATGTGTAGCTTAAAACCACACAGAATGTTTTTTTTTGGGGGGGGGGGCTTTCGACAAAGCCACGACTCCCTGACCGCTGCTTCAACCGTCGCATTCAGCTCTTTACTGGTGCCATTGTAGCTTCAACAATATTCTCCGTCATAGATCTAAGCAAAACGTATCACCAAATTTTAGTAGAGCCCTCCGGTATCCCCAGGAAAGCCATCATTATATCTTTCGGCTTGTCCGAAATTTGGCGCTTGCCTTTCAGCCTTCAAAAAGCTGAGTAAACATGTCAACACTTTGCTTACCAGATCTTGCGGGAGCTCTTGTGCTTTGCCTAACTGGATGATATTCATGTCTTCAGTCGCACTAGAACACGAGAAAAATCGTGAAACGATTTTTTTAAGATAAGAAGATTATTATAATGTTGCTATACAAGTCGGAACGTGGGAGTTTGGTATGCCCTAGTTTGGTTCATTGGCCATCCCCTCAACAAGAACGGACTGCACCCACTAACATCTCAAGTTAAAGCCATCCGGGAGTTTTCTTTCTTTTTTTTTGTCCGAGTCAACAGTAGGAAAACTATCAGAAGTTTTTTTTTTACCTTAATTAACTTTCATCCTTGATTTTTACCATGTGAGGCAGGGAAGCTAAAACCGCTCAACACTCTTCTCAGCGGAGTTAAGGGTAAGACTGCGCCGGTCTCATGGAATGATATAGCAGCTACAGCGTTGAGCAGGGTGAAGAAACAACTCGATTTTGCTAATCTTTTGATTGATCCAGACAGTGGCGCTGCATCGTGTTTCCTGGAGGACGTTTTTCAAGTGGCAGTTGCAGCAGAGTTTCAACAGTATCTTAATGCTCAATGGCGTCAAGCTTGATTTGTTTCTAAATCTTTATGACCAGCTGAATGACAATAAAGCATTTTCGGCCTAGAGTTATTGGCCACTTACCTTTTGGTCATGCACTTCTGTTATCTACCCGAAGGTCATCAGTATTCCCACTACACAAACGACAAACAACGTACCTACGTAATGGTGTCGAGGGCAACGCACTCACCCCATGAAATCGCAGACCTTACTTTTATTTTTGAGTTTACAAGAGACATTCAGCACGTTCCTGTTCAGCACAGTGTAGTTGCTGATGTACTGTTAAGGGTAGCTATGAACGCCATCCTGATTCACT